GAATCTATGCCACTAAGAATTGAGGCAGTTCTGAAGGCAAAAGGGGGTCCAACCCGGTACTGGCGTGGTGTACCTAATAAAGTGGCCAGTGAGTGTATTTCTTTAAAGTGAAAACTGTTGAAAACAACAGACTGTTTTGTCTTATTACACAAATTAAAATCCAGCTCCACGTGTTTCCATTGATGTCATTTCCCCACTAGAAAAATTTGCGTGATGGAGGTCCATGGAAGACAAATAAGTTTAAATCAAATAAACAAAAGAGGATGGAGTTAATTAAATAAAAGTTATTTAAGCTACATTTTGAGCATCCAAAATACGTCAACGGTTCAAGCTGGCTGTTTCTTCTCTTTCATGTCAGACATGTTCAGACTGTCAGGAAGCTCCTCTGTTGTTTGAGACGCTGGGGGAACCGTCTGATGGGGGAACGTGGTTCGACRTAACACTGCTCTCTGTTTAATGCTGGATGAAATAAAGAAAGTGGTGGTACTTTATTTACTTTGAGCAAGTGAACATCATGCTCACAAGATAATTAATCCACCAGATAATTCAGAGGTGGTCTGTTCGGTGAGTTTTACTCCAGGAGCTGCGAGGCTTTCAGGCTACGTTCAGACTGAGCTCTGCCTCTGTTTACTGAACCAGTGGCTGCTGACGTCATTACGCTTTTGTGTGATGCTGCGTTCAGGACAAGCATGGAAAACTCACCCCTCTTACCGGTCACAGTGATGCGTTTAGGTACTTGTGTTGATCTTTTTGAGACGTCCATGTTTAGTTATCAGTTGAGTGTTGGTCCTGTGAACCAGGGTCACATCAGCGGCACTAAATTCTTCTGACCAGCTCATCCACAACGTGTTTGATAAAGGATTGGCTCACTTAYCGGTGATGTCTCAGATACAGGAAGTCACACTTTTCCTTCTTTCTGGCAGGTGTCGTTCGACGTGAGCGTGGAGGCGAGAAGCTGCCCTCGCCGTGGTGCTGACCAGAGCTTCACCATCAAACCTGTGGGCTTCAAAGACCGCCTGGAAGTGTCAGTGTCTTATCTGTGTGATTGTGACTGCAGCCAGACGGCTCAGAAGAACAGCAGCATCTGCAACTCCATCGGTACGGCAGCAGCATGTTACATCATTTCTCATCTAGATGTTTCTAAGTGACACTGCATGTCAACAGCCTCATTAACTTCAAGTTTACTACAGTCAGAGCTTTTTTGGATGTTAAAGTTTTTACTGTCTACAAAATGACTAAATTAAAGGCATTGRATTCCTTGACAGAATACAAAGCCTTGGGGCATTTTAGCAGTGTAGTAATTTAGTTTTCTGACAAACTGTTGATGTTGTGGACTTTGTAGTTGGTTTGCAACAAATAAACTCTTTAAAATTTAAAATTAGCCTAACAGTTCTGATCAGGAGTGTGGAGCTTGGTGGACCTATTATGCAAAATTCACTTTTTAAAGGTTTTTTTACTCAACTTTGGGTATGCACTTCTGAATAAAACAGTCCTAGAACCAAAAAAATGCACCCAGGGGCATATTTACTGTAAGTAAATGTATTTTTAAT